CACCTCTTATCAGCTCTAAATTCGTTCCAAACGAGAGACCATTCTATCGTTCTAACTGCCTTCAAAGGAAACGTGCACAGGAACCGCATGATTCTATTTCCAACATAAATTTGATGGCATAGAACCCATCCGTCGAAATAATTGAAAAAAAAAACGAAAACATGGCGATTTATTAAGATTCTGCAAGAGCAATAGCTGGATCGATTTCTCTTATCATTCCCCTATCACACCCATTTATACGAAATTGGTGTTTTGCGAACGGAAAACCGACTAATAAAGGGACCGACAACTCACAACTAGACATAGCATGTCTATCCATTTATATCCTAATCCAGTACTGGGACAGATATGGGATAGTACTGGGATAGAAGGTAGAGCATTCAGGGGTAAGACATCCTTTCATGGAATACGCAACGCATTTCACTTCAATTAGAACCCTAATGGCATTCGAATGCGGTTGGCTGCTCAACACTGTTTCGATAAACAATCTGACTGGGAGGACTATCGCTCTTATACGCCATGAACTGTTGAATAAGTTAGCTCGAAAGACGCTTCCTTTGATGCCATTGATAGAAAGTTGGGTGTTCCCCTACAGCAGGAACATTTTTCTTTTCCCTTGTATAGGTAAATTTATTTCCTTCCTATGACGCGTGGTTTAATTCTTAGCCGATCCTTCACATACCTCATTCCTATGTCCCCTGACTCCGCCCATGTGTCTACGAACTGTCCAATGTGTCTTTCTTGTAGGCTTAATTTTTTTTCAAAACTGAATTTCCATGCATAGAACTTTGCACGCCATAATTAGTAATCACACTGGCTCATTTATGCAGAGAAAGAATGCATCAAATTTTGAGCACAAATTCCTTTGAAAGCACCGATCGTAATGAGGGGGAGGCGGAGCTATTTTGGGGAGGCACCACTTGTAAAGGAATTGGGGAGGTACTCCCACCACACCACTAATGCGGTACGTGCTGATGAGAGACTTCCTCCCCAAGCAGATTCGCCGGTGACGCCACCAGATTTGCACGGCCTCTCAGCCCGCCCCTCCATTTTTCGTCACCCCCCCCCTCCTCCTCCAATCGCCCCCACCACGCACTGCCTTTGAGATGAATTGTTGAATTCCAGGGTGTTTCTTATGGATTCGCCAGCAGCATCTTCTACTTCTTATATGCGTCATGTTTCCGTTTCGGATTGTGGCTTATCGTCAATGGCACTCTTCAACCAATGAATGTCCTCAGGTGCGTTTTCAGCAACCTTATTTAGCTAACACCATCTTCCTCGCCTGATACAGGGCGTTCCCGCGAGCGGATACTTCGAGGACCCGGGAGCACGCAATGAAGTATCCTCATTTTTAGGGTTTTGTTCGCAATCTCCTTTACTGCTGGAAGCATGGGATTCGCAAGTTCCTATTTCCCCGAGTACATCAAGGCGACATTCGCTGCCGGTCTTATCTTCCACATGCTCGAAGAAGAACCACGAATTGATGGCATGACCAGCAACGGCAAGAAACCGAAGATCGCCGGTGCCGTCAAACTGAACAAAGTCTACTTCAAATATCCGGAAAGACCGGACGTGCCCATACTTCAGGGGCTGGACATTGATGTGAGTCACGTACCACAGCGAATCAGTGTGAATATTTATGCCCAAGTTTCTATTGCTTTCAAATCCTTCTACGAACGTTGAGAGATTTGGAAAGGTCCCATTAGTGGTCCATTTCAAAAGTCGATTAGTAGTCACTTTTTAGGTCAAGCCTGGTGAGACACTAGCGCTGGTTGGGCCTAGTGGTTGCGGAAAGTCTACAGTGATATCGTTACTTGAGAGGCTTTACGATGCTTTGGACGGTTCTGTGGTAAGTGTACTCTGTTTATGTTACTTTTATATAACCTATGGGATATCCTTACTTTTCAACGAGAGCTTACAAAAGTGACGAGGCAAAAATACATTTTCACCAGGAATTAATATGGGCAAACCCAGAACTTCCAGAGTGAAAGTCGTCAAATGAGCAGGGTGGAAGGACAAGCTGGGCCATCGCGCGCAGTTCATCTTACCCTAACTAGGATATCTCGACGCGGAGCTTTTACAGTACCACCCTTACATCCAATATGTAGCGCGGTAGCGATGACGATGGCGCGCGCGACGACGCTGCATTGCCATTCCCCAATTCCTGAGCCACATTTGAAAAACACCGTATTGAACAGCACAGCATTGTGACTATAGCCATGTATTTACGACTCCCTCAAACGCCTTTGTGAGAATTACGAACTCGCAAGGACACGGCATTTGGCTTACTCCAGCAGGCTGCTCCCGAGGCTTCCCATTACTCCCCTTCCAGGATCGTCTGTTATGCCAGGAACAATTCCAGGGGTGGAGGAGAGTGACGAGTCAGGGTGGGTATTTCGTGTTTGGGGAAACAAAACTTTCTTCCAACTCCCCTGTCCCCCACTCCACTGACTTCTTGAGATTGAAGTGTGTCTATTGGTGTCACGTTTAGGACAATGAACACCAAACAAGAAGGCGAAGAGCGTCCCAATTGTTGAACTGGCACAACAGGACGGTTGAGCTCCAGCTTCGAAAAGAGCATAATGAAAGTTATGCTTACAAGAAATAAAATAAGAAAAGATAAGAAAATGACATTATTTCTAGCTGCCCTTCCGAGGGACATGGATTTGAGTAAAACATAAATTGTAGGACACGATGGTAGGGTAAGTTGTGCTGGGTAACCAAAATGCGCATTGATTCGACGCCGCAGCGCATCCGCTCGCGTC